TCCATTTCTCTCTCTGCAGTCTCAGGGACTCCAGTATGTTAATTCTTTCACAAAATCCTATGTCTCTTACTCTCTTGTCTGTCTTTTTCAAACTTTTTGCTCTCCATATTTCTGTCTGATAATTTCTATTTGTTTGTCTTGTTACTCACTAATCTTCTCTTCACCTCTGGCAAATATGTTGCTAAACACATCTATTAAGAAGATGTGTTATTTATTGTGCCTTTTTTTTTTTTTTGAGACAGTCTCTCTTTGTCACCTAGGCTGGAGTTCAGTGGTGCAATCTCAGCTCACTGCAACCTCTGCCTTCCCGGTTCAAGTGATTCTTCTGCCTCAGCCTCCTGAGTAGCTAGGATTACAGGCGTGTACCACCATGCCTGGCTACTTTTTGTATTTTTAGTACAGAAAGGGTTTCACCATGTTGGTCAGGCTGGTCTCGAACTCCTGACCTCGTGATCCACCCACCTCGGCCTCCCAAAGTGCTGGAATTATAGGCATGAGCCACCGCGCCCAGCCTTGTTGTTGAATTTTTATTTAATTCTTTTTTATAGATTCCAGTTCTCTGGTGAAATTCTCCATCTTGTCATCTTTTTTTCTTGGACAAAAAAAGCACAGTTATTTTCAAAACATATATTTGGTAACTCTAATATCTGGGTTACCCGTGGGCCTATTTCTATTGTGTTTTTTTTCTCTCTCTCTCAGTTGCAGTTTTTGGAATTTCTGATAATTTCTACTTGAATGTTGAGCAATGTATGTAAATAATTGTAGTCTCTGGATGATGTTATCTTTTTCTCAAGAAGTGTTATCTTTTCCGGCAAGCAGCTGGAGTGGGAGATTATATCCATTCAGTCTGGGACTTAGCTTACTGGATTGGATTGGAATTTTTGTAAATCATGGTTTACCTCACATTTTTCTCCTCTTCTAGAGTGTAGCTTGTCAGGGGGCAAGATGATAGCCTTTGGTTATTTACTGGTACTCCCTTCTTGGTGGTTCCAAAACTTGTGACTGCCAGAAATTTGACTTTTCTTTATAGCTATACTCTCATTTTTATAGAGCCTTAAGCTCTATGAAATTAGCAAACATAAAATTATAAAAATGTAACAGTATATTATAATATAAATATAATAATATATTATGTATAATAATATAAACGTAAATATTATATAAAATCATCAAATCTCCATAAGGCAAAATCAAATGCTGAGTTTGGGGCTAAGCTCCATGTACCTCCCTTTTCCCAAGTATCCTGTCACTCATGCCCTGGTTATTCTGGCAGCTCTGAACTCCCATTAAGAGCTTTCCTCATCATATTTAGTATTTAACATTAACAGTGTATGGGAGAAGTTCATATAAAATACCAAAAACTGAATAAACATACCTAGTCAGGCATTCTTGCTCTCTGACTGTGTCACAAACAGGAATGACTTCATGTGGGAATGTTCTTTACCCTAAGCTTGCATGTGAGGAAGACGGTTTCCTCTTTTTAGGAGGCCTGTCCCTCTGTGAAGCTGTGCCTTATCCTCTAAGAATGCTCCTGGCGTTGTTAGGACGGTATACATAAACAGTTTGGCAAATATCTGTACAAGATGAAGGAATGAACATTGCTTTTGTTTTCCACCTTTTTGTGAGACAGGATGTAACCAGAATAGACATGATGATATTCACTAAAATTTACTAAAGACTTACTGTGGAGCAGGCTCTGTGTTAGATGCTTCGTACTGATTATCTCATTTAATCCTAAACAGAGCCTATGAGGTAATAAAGATAGTTATTCCCATTTCATATTTGATGAAACTGGGGCTTAAAGAGATGAAGTTAATTTAAACAGGGTCCAAGAGCCAGGAAGTAAATGGCACAAACAAGTTTGAACTCAGATTTTTCTAATCTTCAAGATCCATGTTTTTTTTTCCAACATTTCATCCTGCTGCTTGGCCTGCCCTTTTTCAACATAACTAGTATCATGATTTCACTGACCCCTGGACTCCTGATACATCTTCTTATATAAAGTCAGAGCTAAGTAGTCTGAGGGATTTACATGCAAAGACATCCCCTTTCTGGTACATTGCTTTCAGGTATTTCCAGATTCTTCCCTCCCCGACCCATCCTTTGAAATATGTATCACATTAAATGCCTCCATTTATAACTACTATGGCAAGTCTGAATGTATTTTTTTTTTCAAAAATACAGCTTTATGCAGAGACAGGAAGCAGTTAGTGGTAGGGCTTTATTTTGGGAGGATTAGAGTGGTAGGGGGTGGGGCATGGGGAGAAATTGCTTTCTGCAGTGTCAGATGAATGAGTTATAGGAAATGATAGCTCAGCCAGCAGCTTGGTGCTTGCTAGTGAGTCAGCAGTGATTCCATCCTCAGCCCCAGTGCTGGGATCACAGCTGAGAGACACTCTTCCTGTTGAGGGCTCCTCCCCGCCCACTGTCTGGGACATGGAGGCTCTGCTTACCTGATGTGAGCCATTCAGTTACCTGTCACGGAGGAGAAGGAGACACAGAACAGTCTTTTTGTTTCAATGCAGATGTTTCTACACGTCTTTGGGATTAATTGGTATTTCTAATTCTTTTTCCTGATATCCAACAGAAAGATTCAGTGACTTTCCATCTAGAGAATGATGATGTTTGGGACCGGTGTCAAAGCAGAAGCTAGTTCTTAGGGCAACATTTTTTACTTTTATACTACTTCAACTTTAGAAGGTATTTATAAATGATCAAAACAGTATGGAAAAGCAAGACAGGAAGACACTCCTTCAGAAAAAGGGGTAAACAAGGAAAAACCATCTTGTCAGGACAATGGAAACCATGTAGAGGTAGTAAAAAACTAGAACCAAATCATTGTGGTTGTTGGGGTAGGATAGTAGGATTATCGGTGATTGCTTTTTTGTTTTGTTTTATTACTTTATTTTCCAGGTCCAATACATAGGCACATGTTGTAAAATTTATTCTATAAGTAGTCCTTTAGTGTTTTAAAATAACTAGTTGTGAAAAATAACTGGCCAAATAACTTTAATATTTTAGGATATCTTTTCCCCAAGCCCTGATGAGACTCTTAAAGTCAATCTAGTCATACCCAGGATTTTCTAGTAGGAAATGGGTAGAGAGGTCTAACTTTTCTCAGAATTTCCTATGTGCCAGGCATTAGCTTCCTTTTCACTCAGAAGGTGCTATTATCCATATTTTACAGATCAAGAAACTAATGCTCAAAGAGATTGAAGGAACGTTCCCAGGCCAATTGTTAGTATGTGGTATAATTTCATCCATGCCCAAGTCCTACTGACTCCAAAGTCCACACTCTTTTAACTTTAGTACAAAATGATGCCACCACAATTTCCATTCCACCTGCTTTTTGTAAGGCAGTTTAAATGCGTTAACGTACTGCTGGATTGATCATCCACGAAAAAAAACTGTTGGAATATATTATTCTCTTTCTGAAAAACTGGGACTCTAAAATTCACATATACTTGACTTGTACTTTAGTTAGAGAAATATTTAGAGCATTGGATAGCATGCATATCTGTGTGCTTCACCTGAAGTCCATAAAAAAGGCACAGTAAGTACCTGATTTAGTGGTTGGACTCCCCTGGAATTTGCAGTGACTCTCATGATCTCTCCTAAAGTTCTTAGATACGTAAGACTGATGATAAAGTAAATGTTTTGTTGTTCAGAACAGTAGCTGGAAGTGACAGTTTTGTTGAGGGAGGGGTGTATTGTTGCAAAGTAGAACACTTACAGCTTCACAAAAATATCCATCTCATTGGCCCAACAGGGCCCTCATTTATCTTTTTGATAAGCTAATAACATTTAAAGATCTCTTAAATTTTTTACTGTTATTATAATGCAATTAATGCTGTGTTTTGATGGCTTTATTGAGGTATTGATATATAACAAATTGCACGTATTTAATGTACAATTTGATTAAATTTAACACCTATGAAACATCACTTCAATAAAAATGATGAATATATCCATTTTCCCAAACAGGTTTTTGTAATGCTGTATTTTTGAAGGAAAAAAAATTCAGTCATTTATGTTCCCCTTTCCATTTGGTGAAAATGAGCCTGGACAGGGACCCAGATTATGTGAGTCTGGACTCCAATCTTGCCTTAACTAGCTCCACACAATTCAGTGAGCCCTTTAATTATTTTTGGCCCTTGGATTTTCATCTGAAAAAATGAGGGGGTTGGACTAGATGGTCCCTAAGGACCCCTACAGCTCTGAAGTTCAATAAAGCTAAAAGGACTGGTGTACTTAGGGTATTGGTTTGTGTCCAAATGGTTTTATGTAAAAACGTGGACTTCCCTAGTGGCCTGGTGTCAGCTGTGCCACTTCATCCCTGCCTTGCTTTGCTTGATTGGCTATCATGGAATCATTGTATTTCTTTTAATTCCCTTTCACCCTGATTCAGGGTCATTCATGTCATTGTCTCCATGTTGGTCTTGCTAAGCATAGGGAAATACTCGACTTAAGAATTTAGGGCTAATGCTTGGGTAATGCTGGGAATTTGGCAACACCATAAGCAAAGAGCTGAGGAGGGATTATGACAGGATCATCAGCCCTCTGGCTATTTTTGAGGCAGCTTGAGCATTTTATGGGGGGCAGAGACAAGCTGTATTAGATATATTTCAGGACTGGGGGAAGGGAAGAGGATTGGAATTTAATTAAAATTCTGATCCCAACTTTGCCCATCTTCTTGCCAAGTCAGCAGCTAGCATTTCTGTTCATGGTTCTGGTGACTCTGCTGTGATGACATACGATTACCTCCAAAATTCTTGTGAATTTGCTGAAAACTTCAATATGCTCAACCAGATGCTTTAATCAGGACTGGCATGCTGCCATCTTTTGCCTGTGTTTTTGGCGATACCTAATCAACCACTGCCAGCATTCCTGGTGGGAGAGGGGATTTGGAGGGAGCTGATGGTGAAAACTGAGCTGATGACAAACAAGAAACCTATTTCATTGCAGCATAGCGATCTTTCCAAATTGCTTCTGTTTTCCAGGTAGCTCAGTGGCATTTCTGAGCAGGGGCTACCCTGACTTCACCTTGGCCCACCATGAGGGTCTTCCTGCTTTGTGCCTACATACTGCTGCTGATGGTTTCCCAGTTGAGGGCAGTCAGCTTTCCTGAAGATGATGAACCCCTTAATACTGTCGATTATCACTGTAAGTCGTCTCAAGAACAGTCTTCTATTCTGAGAAGGAAGCTTTTCTGTTTTTCATTTTCTAAGCATGTTCATTTTCAGAAAGAGGCAGAGATTTTTTATGTCTTAAACATGAATTTGCATCTGAATTTATCAGTAATCATGTCCTAGTGTTTGGAGAAAACGGGACAGTTTTGTTGGGCGCTTTTCTACAGCAACCTGTATATAGGTTATATATGTTGAGTTAAAAGAAAAAGACCATTTGCTGACATTCACTGCCTTTTATTCATTTATATTCAAGACCTTAAGAGAGGAATTTAGTTAAAACCCTTCTACAACAAGTATATACGGCTAATCAATGCTGTTTATTGATCCCTCAGCTCCATAATCCTGAATGATGGTTTAGCCCATTTTTACTTGCAGATTCAAGGCAATATCCGGTTTTTAGAGGACGCCCTTCAGGCAATGAATCGCAGCACAGGCTGGACTTTCAGCTGATGTTGAAAATTCGAGACACACTTTATATTGCTGGCAGGTAATTTTCCTCTCATTGGTTTATTAGATTAAAATTCTTTTCTCTAGTGGTGCTTGCATTAATGTGTCTAGTTCATGAAAAACTAATATGTGATTGTGATCAAAAATTGCAAGTAGCCAGAAATATTCACTGAGAAGAGTCAGTGTTGTGTACCAGGAACAAAATACAAAGCTCAAGCCTTCAGCGGTGCTATTTTATTACTGCCATCAAGAAATCATACACCATTCTTTTTTCCTAAAGCAGCAGGGGAAAAAAAAACCTTTCTTTATGCGTTTTTAACTTAGAATTATTCAAGCAAATATCAGAAATATGTCTGTGCTAATACCAAGTAGCAGTTTGACCCATGCCTGGAGAGAAGAGCTTTCTTCGCTCTCTGACTACAGTGATGTATAAAAGCATCTCACTAATGAAAAAGTACTCTTTGTTGACTTTGTTTGAGACAGAGAAAATCCAGATGATCTCTAAAACACAATAAAGGCAGATCTGTAAAAATAAAATAAGAAGCAGCTTAACATTTTTATGTATTCACATGATATGTTTTTATTGCCTTATTTCCAATAGGGATCAAGTTTATACAGTAAACTTAAATGAAATGCCCAAAACAGAAGTAATACCAAGCAAGGTGAGCAACTGTAGTTGGCAAATTTATTTACATTCCCTCTGAACCTGATTAATTTTTCCACTCCCTCCCCCGAAAATGTTCCCATTTAAAAACTGAACTTTGGTTTTGCTTGATTAATACAGAAACTGACATGGCGATCAAGACAACAGGATCGAGAAAACTGTGCTATGAAAGGCAAGCATAAAGTGAGTTAAACAGACAAATGTTTGCTAGATTTAGTCTTTCTGTGGGCTTGATACCACAGTGCCAGCACGTTTGAATGTCTGATATTAATGTTACTACTACTTTCTTTAGGATGAATGCCACAACTTTATCAAAGTATTTGTTCCAAGAAACGATGAGATGGTTTTTGTTTGTGGTACCAATGCATTCAATCCCATGTGTAGATACTACAGGGTAAGTATACTTTATGCGATGTGCTTCTTTTGATCAACTTTTCTCCCTTCACTGGTATGCTGTTAGAGTTGAAACCTTTCTGCTTTCCAGTAATTTGTTTTATCTCTAGTGCTATGAAAGAATAAAGACAGAATTCTTCAAATGGAATTTTAATACAAATAAAACAGTATTGCCTTCAGACAGGCACATTGAATAGATATGACACTGGCTATTTATTTTTCTTTTGTAGTTGAGTACCTTAGAATATGATGGGGAAGAAATTAGTGGCCTGGCAAGATGCCCATTTGATGCCAGACAAACCAATGTTGCCCTCTTTGCTGGTAAGATCCTCTAGCCTAATGAATATAAATGATTAATGACATTGAAGGCAAAAAAGGAATGTAATGGAAGAGTAGAAGTTAATAACTTGGATACCCACCTTGATCTAAGTGTTCGAAAGGCTAAAATCTATGCACAAATTTCCAGAAAAAAAGAAAAAATTAAGGACAAGGATATTTCAGTGCACACTATAAGTATTATGACACCCTGTTGTTAACTAGGCCAGTGACTCCAGATAAGTTGCTTAACTTTTTGATGCCTAGATCCTTCATCTGTAAAATTAGATAATCCCATGGCTGACCTGTCACACATTGATGTGAGTATCAGGTGCAGCCCTATTTGTATAGATAATGGTAATACTGGTGAGAGCACTGCAAAGGGCATAGCACGCTACTGAAGCAAACACACTGCAGGATAATTATGGTTATCTTACCAAAATTATAACTTTGGTTTCAGATGGGAAGCTGTATTCTGCCACAGTGGCTGACTTCTTGGCCAGTGATGCCGTTATTTATCGAAGCATGGGTGATGGATCTGCCCTCCGCACAATAAAATATGATTCCAAATGGATAAAAGGTACCTTTGAAGAGCAGTGTCGTGGGGTCACCAGGAGAGTGGATGGCCCAAGTGGGGACAGCAGCCATAGCCATCGAGAGGTTCAGCACATGACTTTATATTCTTTATTTAGAACACGTAAACACTGCTTTGGTTGTGAACAGGAGCATTGACAGGGAATGAGGAGACTAGTAGCCACCTCAGGAGAGTAAGTTCATCCAGGTGTTTATCCCAGGTGACCTCAAAAAAAAAGCGGGGGGAGATTTCATCTCTGTGTGTACCAATTTGTCTAACCTTCTAAATGCACATAATACTATTTGCCATTTACCCATCTTGGAAAGTTAACAGAGAGAATCGATTAGTCCGTATGAGAGCCATTTTGTTCTTCAGAGTCTAGAAATCAAGATTTTTTATTTTCAGTGTAAGAGGTTTTCTTCCCTAGTTAAATAGGTTAATGAATAAATCTGTTGAAACAAAGACCTTTGCTATAGTTCAGTTCCCTGTAGGTCTTTTTACAGTCCATTAGCTGACTTTAGAGACGACGGGTTCCCTGAAGCTTGAACACACCCATATTGGGACTCCTCAAAATCATTGGCAGATTGGAGTTCTTGTTGGCTTGAATGTAACTGTGCAACATCTGTCAGTCATGCCTTGCAGTCGGGGTCTTATGCTAATTGAATTATCCTTTAGGAACCAGTTTGTTTTTAATTTTTCTTTCAGAGCCACACTTTCTTCATGCCATAGAATACGGAAACTATGTCTATTTCTTCTTTCGAGAAATTGCTGTCGAACATAATAATTTAGGCAAGGCAAGTGTATGCATTTGGCTTGAATCGTGGACTTGTACTGCATGAAATTGAGACCACTGTGATAGAGTTAAGGATGCTCCCTTGGCATGTTTTCCAGCTCTCAATTCAGTGTACATAGGGCCAACTGCAGAGAGGTGGGTTGCTTGTCATGAGAATAATTGCTGGAAAACATCTGAACAATAACCTGAGTGGGAACACCAGCCTTGAGTTTTGAGAAGATTTCCTTTTTTTTCTGCAGCCACAGAGAGTGTTCTACAGGTACCCTTGAGCTATGGATGCTTTTTTTTTTTACTCTTTAGAAAATCATTCATAGTCTCTTCTTTCTCAGTGTCAAAAGGCAGGATAGAAAGTAGGGACCCCATTCAATTTTTAGTGTTTCAGTGAAGGCCCATGTGATTTTAAAGTATTGCAACCCCTTCTATGCCAGGTTGAAAGACGACACGTTTCATTAACAATACAGGAAGCAGAGTTGGAGACCAAGTGCTGGAATGGTTTTCATTCAGCAAGGCAGATAGCTCACTTCTTGGGGAGCATGTTTAGCAAAACAGTGGCTCTTTTTTTTTTTTTTCATAGGTGAATCCAGTTTACCTTCTTATTGGACAGACCCCTAGAGAGAAGACTGCTAGATTCTTTTGAACCAGATGTATCTTTAGCATTTTTTGTCCCTCCCTTAAATAGCATCATTTTGTTTCCATTCCTTTCCATGCTCACAACCCCATCGCTTTGCTTCTGTCTGTTGGGCAGGCTGTGTATTCCCGCGTGGCCCGCATCTGTAAAAACGACATGGGTGGCTCCCAGCGGGTCCTGGAGAAACACTGGACTTCATTTCTGAAGGCTCGGCTGAACTGTTCTGTCCCTGGAGATTCGTTTTTCTACTTTGATGTTCTGCAGTCTATTACAGACATAATACAAATCAATGGCATCCCCACTGTGGTCGGGGTGTTTACCACACAGCTCAACAGGTGAGCACAGGACCCCAGCACTGCACAGATGTTCTGTACATGCCCGTCAGAGCCAAGACAGGCTCCGTGTCGCCAGCCTCTTCCTGATGGTTTTCTTCCTTTTCAGCATCCCTGGTTCCGCTGTCTGTGCATTTAGCATGGATGACATTGAAAAAGTATTCAAAGGACGGTTTAAGGAACAGAAAACTCCAGATTCTGTTTGGACAGCAGTTCCCGAAGACAAAGTCCCAAAGCCAAGGTAAATGAAAAAGTCGAAAAGGGTTTTGTCTTGAACAAAACCCTCCGGTCACTGGAAGAAGCCCTCCTCAGGGAGCAGCTTGGCCAACCTCCCACACCAGGAGGGGGTTTGTCTCTCTGCAGCATCTCAGACGGAGCCAGCGGATATAGCCTTGTGACCTGCAAGCTCATGAGTGTGAATGGAGAGCCCGTTGAGTTCAGGGGCATAGCATTGCTCCTTTAGTTTCACTCACTCTCCTTCCTCCCTTGACCTCTTCTCTGAGAATATGCACTTATTCCTTAGATACAGTACATGGTGTGGCAGGGGCAGCCAAGAGCATAAAAGAATGCTGTTTTCCTTTCAGGCCTGGCTGTTGTGCAAAACACGGCCTCGCTGAAGCTTATAAAACCTCCATCGATTTCCCGGATGAAACCCTGTCATTCATCAAATCTCATCCTCTGATGGACTCTGCTGTTCCACCCATTGCCGATGAGCCCTGGTTCACAAAGACTCGGGTCAGGTGAGATCGTATGGGAAACACTCCTTCCTATCCAACATTTTCTCTGCCCGTTGGCCTCCCCTTCTGATCTGTGCTGCCGCCTCTCGTAGGTACAGACTGACAGCCATCGCAGTGGACCATTCTGCCGGACCCTACCAGAACTACACAGTCATCTTTGTTGGCTCTGAAGCTGGCGTGGTACTTAAAGTTCTGGCAAAGACCAGTCCTTTCTCTTTGAACGACAGCGTGTTACTGGAAGAGATTGAAGCCTACAACCATGCAAAGTAGGTGTATGTTACGAGAATGCCCTTCAGTACTGCTCAAAAATTTCCGGCGTGTATTTCATCTAGTCGTGTCCTTTTGGCCCTCTAAATTAGCCATGGTTTGGCATAATAGTGTTTTGTGTTTTCTTCTCATTGAAATAAATCTTGGGTTTGTTTTTTTCCCGAGCCTACTAGGGCAAGGAGGGTGAACGGTTGATGAGTTTAAAAATCATTCAGCCCTTGTTTTTCACCTGTAGACTATGAGAACATTTTAACAGCACCTCTCTTATCTTGCAGATAAGATGCTACATGCAGCAGACAGTTGTGAGCTTGCATACACACACACACACACACACAAATATACACGCACATACATACACAGAATGTAATACTAGTTAAGCATTTCCTTCCTATCATTAATATGTAAGAGAATATTTAGACCATTTTTAAAAAAACAAGAAATAAAAGAGAGAAATGGGACTAAGGAGAGAACCAGAACCATCTAACACAGGAAAATTTAAATGCATTAAAACACGATCCTTTTTATTTCTATAGTCAAATGCGGCCTTCACAAATGCAATTCATTTCTATCATCATAACAGGAAAGCAATCTTTAAAAACCCTTTGTCCAGCCTGAAATTTAACCAACCGTGCAGAGAAGTAGAAGATGAATCACGTAATTATTATTTCCCAAACTATGTACTTGCCTGGTTTGTTACCAAGAATATTCCTTATGATTTCCCAGCTCTCAGTAATTGCTAAACCAAACCACACTTGACTGACTAAACATATGGCTTCAAAATGTATCCCACAAAATAGGTGCAGTGCTGAGAATGAGGAAGACAAAAAGGTCATCTCATTACAGTTGGATAAAGATCACCATGCTTTATATGTGGCATTCTCTAGCTGCGTTGTCCGCATCCCCCTCAGTCGCTGTGAGCGTTATGGATCATGTAAAAAGTAAGCTCGTGTTTCTTTACTTACCCCGGGTCTTGCAGCATCAAAACCTTTGATGATGAGAAAATCCGAGTTACATTCTGTTTGGTGTTATACAGGTCTTGTATTGCATCTCGTGACCCGTATTGTGGCTGGTTAAGCCAGGGATCCTGTGGTAGAGTGACCCCAGGGATGCTGTAAGTACACTTTCTCACGTGAGCTAGGATGAACTATCCTCTCCAGGGTCTCTAAAGCTAGAAATTGTGGAAAACTTCCAATTACACTACTTTTTCTTTCTTGCTTGCTTTCTTGCTTTCTTTTTTTTTGTTTTTTTGTTACGGAAGAAACAGGAAAATGAAAACCAGGAGATGTGAGAAGGAAGGGCATAATAATACTTAAGGGAAATGGTAGACCTAATAATACTTAAGGGAAATGGATGGAGAGAAAAAACCAATTCTATTCTGTTCTCTTCAACATTCTAGTTCACTAGTTTTTAACAGAAATAGCCATTTTAGCAAGTTATGTTAAAATGTTTAATTTTTTTTTTCTCTCTGCACATTCTTACTAATCAGTCTGTGTTCTTGGTTCTGCTCTGGTTGTCACTTGTGTTCCTATGAAGGCTGTTAACCGAAGACTTGTTTGCTTTCCATAACCACAGTGCTGAAGGATACGAGCAAGACACAGAATTCGGCAACACAGCTCATCTAGGGGACTGCCATGGTAAGACAGAGTCTTCCATTCCCACCTGGAGCTGCTTTTTGACCACCTTTGCACGTGGACATTATTTTACAATCAGTCTTTTTAATGACTCAGGACACATACCACCTAGCATTTTAACTTAAACTTCGCAAAAGCTGAGCTGTTTGATCATGGGGATACATTAGAAAAGAGGCTTACTTTTTTTTCCTTCACCATTTACAATTTTGTAGGAAATCTAGAGAGAGATAGTCTAACCAGTAGGTTAATCTTTTTAATTTATAGTCTTTTTTTTTTAACTTTTTTAGTTAATTGGAATTCATAAATTTTTGCTTTCTTTTGGTTACTTTTCACTGATTACTTGTTCCTTTAATTCTTTTAGAAATTTTGCCTACTTCAACTACACCAGATTACAAAATATTTGGCGGTCCAACATCTGGTTAGTTTTTTTTAATTTTTTTGAATTAACAACCTTTTCTTTCCTTCAGTTCAGCATTTTCAGCCCCTTCTCCCCTCCTTTTGCGCAGTTTGGCAGCCCTTCATTTTTCCGCTTTGATTCATAATCCCACTGATGGTACCAAAAGACTTTTCTTACTGAGCACTTCACCCTTGTATAGCATGTTAACACTTCATCATTGACCAAGCCACATCCTTTAAGAAAATTCAAATGGGCTAACATAGACTGCATTCCAGCTGCACGCACGCCCACCCAAGCTTTCTTCTTTCTCACCTCTTTGCATTGTGAATGTTTCTTCTGGTCATCTGTATTTAATGGATGGCGGAATTTCATTATTTTTCCCCATCTCTCCTCACCTTTCCTATGACCTAGTAAACAAATACACATTTCCCATAAATGTGTATTTAAAAGTTTTAGAGATCTTTGAATGGTTTGCGCTCATCCTGTGAATCTTTGAATGTTGTGGTCTCGGTCGTGTGAAAAAGGCTTCAGTGGAATGAAGCTGATTTTTGATGTATTAAGATGTTCAGTGGGCTCTCCAAGCCTCTCTGTACCTGTTTTGGAACCTTCTTCTGTAATCGTTGCACCAGTCAGAATTGCAGTCTCTGAGGTTTTAGCCTAAAAGCGTAGGCTTACATTTTGAGGGAAAATCTATTTGGAGGAAATCAGTACTAGACATGCTAAAAGGTTAAGTTACTCCCGGTCCTATTGCTGCTTCTAAAACTCACCAGCAATTCCTTTCCTCAGGGGGAGAAAAAGATGGCAGATCTTATGTATCAGAATATCCTCGTTCAGTTTGTAAATGCCATTGCCTTTGCATTAGGTTCTGCTAACTCTTTGGAAGAAACTCCCCAGCAGTTTTGGAGAGTACAGGCAAAGTCTGTCCCTCCTTCGGTGTTTTACTGTCGGGGGCAGAGCCTCAGTGTAGTGAATAATCTACATATGGACAGGAGGCCACTAGTAACAACCTCTTAGGCAGAGCTGGTTTATCACATCCAAAATCAAGTCTCTTCGTAGACTTAACCAGATATTTTCCGACAAAATTCCATCATAGCTTCTTCCCCAATAAAGACTATAGATTTTCTAACCATCTGTGAAAGTGCTTTTTAGGATGCATAAAAAGAAATGAAATGATGTCTCACAAGAGAAGGAAGAAACAGCAACTAATCTGCCCTGGGAATTATATTACCTTTTTCATGAGTGTCATTAGTAACCACAGGGGCTTTCCTAAGAGCCTTTCGAGTATCTTTAATTTTGAAATCTGCTTAATATGTCTTTACTGTTAATTTTCAGTTTTCATTCACTCCCTTGAAAGGAAAGAATTTGATGTAGCTTCCTCAGGCGTGTTTTTACAAAATCCTAGAGCAAACGTTCTCATGAAATTTACTCAAACTTTATTTAAAAATGCAACAGACCAATCAAAAAAAATCTTGACATTATCCATATTAATAAAATCTGTTTGCCACCACAGACATGGAGGTATCTTCATCTTCTGTTACCACAATGGCAAGTATCCCAGAAATCACACCTAAAGTGATTGATACCTGGAGACCTAAACTGACAAGCTCTCGGAAATTTGTAGTTCAAGATGATCCAAACACTTCTGATTTTACTGATCCTTTATCGGGTATCCCAAAGGGTAAGGCCTCAGCAGGGACCTCATCTCTAACTGCATGGAAACCTGATCCTTAATATCACTGAGGAGTATGTGGTTCTCCAGAGGTGAGCCTCACTGGAGCTTCTGCGGTTGTACCTCCACCGCCCCTAGCTACAGTCTCTCTGGCTTTCTGTGGTTATATCTGAGTGCATTCCTTAAAAGATAAAAGAGGTGGAAAGCTGTTGGAGAAAAGGCTGCTGAAGCAGCCACTCAGACAATCTAATCTGTGTTGATTTCTGTCTGAAGAAGCAGAGAGCGTGCTGGATTTCAGGAAATTTCAAGGGTCACCGCAGCAAAAAACAAAACTCATTAATTGCAAATATCCTGATATCAGATGTTTTGTCTAGGAACCTTTCCCAGCCTCTTGTTTAGCTTCCATTCAAAATGCAATCTGAAAAGGATATGTGAGATGCTAAGTTGCTTGAATGCCACAAGCAATAAAACATAACAGAATGCTTGTCCATAACTATCATTTTCAGCCCGTAATAGGAGCAGTTATAAAATAGCTGCCTGTTGAGTTAGCTTATTAGATATATTACTCTAGGAAAAAAAATCTATTCTTTAGTGCTTACTAAACTATGGTATCAGGTTTCCAATCAGTTTTTATGGCAGCGCATTGTCATTTATGATTTATATCGGTTGATTTTCATTTTATGTGTTTTCGTTGTAAACAATTTTATAATCATTCTTCATTCTTCTTTCTGCTTTGCTTTCTTTAGTAATACCATTTTTTTCTCCTTTTCTTTCTTGGTCTTTCACAGTGCCACTGAATTCCATAACATTAATTAAACATTAATTAAAAACAACTAATGTTCAAAGGCCTTAGCACTAACTTAAAGCAACAGAATCTTCAAAATCACTCTGACTTACCTTACTCTGGGATAGCTGTGTTTATAGCATGTAACAGACTTGAATACCTCTTAAACTAACATTTTTTAATTAATTGTTAGATGTCTGTGGTTGCATTAAAAGGTTAAGTTTAATTTCAATAATTATAAACTAATTTGCTCTTCTTTTTCTAGGTCTAATTTAAATATTTTCAAATATCTTCGGATAATTTGACAATTTTCTTAACTAATACGTAGTATGTTTCCTTAGACTGTCTGGATTTCTTACATAGTCGGTCATTCAAGAGTGCTTCACCCCAAGATGGAATGAAAAAAAAATTCAAGCAAACATGAAAGTCTCTTTTTATAGCTAACAGTGATCAAGCAGATATTTTTGGTTTGTGAACAAATTATGTGTTCTTATTTAAGTTAGTATAATTTTATTGGGATATTATGTTAGCATAATATATATTTATGCTAATTATTACAGTTTCCTATATCCTAACAGCTACCTTTTAATCCTGAATTAAGAGAAAATTATGCCACAAAACACATAATGAGTTTAAGGTTAGCTATTTAGAAACGATGCACTTCTAACTATTTTTTAGATCAAACTCTTAAACTTTCTAATATATAACAACTACTTATGAGGGATTGGAGGAAAAGAACAGAAGAATACAGATCAGTGGGAGATTAGAGTTATCCTGGCATTTGCAGCAATCCTGTATGTCTCTGGGGATCCTAGTTTGATTAAAGACAAAATATACAAGGAATTTTGGAGTCTACTTGACCCTCCAAGCTAAGCATACGAACCATGTGAAGGTCTTGTTGGCTCGCTGAAAGCCATTTGCTGTTTATTATTATTTTTAAAAAGCACCTCATTCACACATCTCATGTGTCTATTGCAGGTGTACGATGGGAAGTGCAGTCTGGAGAGTCCAACCAGATGGTCCACATGAACGTCCTCATCACCTGTGTCTTTGCTGCTTTTGTTTTGGGGGCATTCATTGCAGGTGTGGCAGTATACTGCTATCGAGACATGTTTGTTCGGAAAAACAGAAAGATCCATAAAGATGCAGAGTCCGCCCAGTCGTGCACAGACTCCAGTGGAAGTTTTGCCAAACTGAATGGTCTCTTTGACAGCCCTGTCAAGGAATACCAACAGAATATCGATTCTCCTAAACTGTATAGTAACCTGCTGACCAGTCGGAAAGAGCTCCCACCCAATGGAGATACTAAATCCATGGTAATGGACCATCGAGGGCAACCTCCAGAGCTGGCTGCTCTTCCCACTCCTGAGTCTACACCCGTGCTTCACCAGAAGACCCTGCAGGCCATGAAGAGCCACTCAGAAAAGGCCCATGGCCATGGGGCTTCAAGGAAAGAAACCCCTCAGTTTTTTCCCTCTAGTCCGCCGCCTCATTCCCCATTAAGTCATGGGCATATCCCCAGCGCCATTGTTCTTCCAAATGCTACCCATGACTACAACACGTCTTTCTCAAACTCCAACGCTCACAAAGCTGAAAAGAAGCTTCAAAACATTGATCACCCTCTTACAAAGTCATCCAGTAAGAGAGATCACCGGCGTTCTGTCGATTCCAGAAATACCCTCAATGACCTCCTGAAGCATCTGAATGACCCAAATAGTAACCCCAAAGCCATCATGGGAGACATCCAAATGGCACACCAGAACTTAATGCTGGATCCCGTGGGATCGATGTCTGAGGTCCCACCTAAAGTCCCTAACCGGGAGGCATCGCTATACTCCCCTCCTTCAACTCTCCCCAGAAATAGCCCAACCAAGCGAGTGGATGTCCCCACCACTCCTGGAGTCCCAATGACTTCTCTGGAAAGACAAAGGGGTTATCACAAAAATTCCTCCCAGAGGCACTCTATATCTGCTATGCCTAAAAACTTAAACTCACCAAATGGCGTTTTGTTATCCAGACAGCCTAGTATGAACCGTGGAGGATATATGCCCACCCCCACTGGGGCGAAGGTGGACTATATTCAGGGGACACCAGTGAGTGTTCATCTGCAGCCTTCCCTCTCCAGACAGAGCAGCTACACCAGTAATGGCACTCTTCCTAGGACGGGACTAAAGAGGACGCCGTCCTTAAAACCTGACGTGCCACCAAAGCCTTCCTTTGTTCCTCAAACCCCATCTGTCAGACCACTGAACAAATACACATACTAGGCCTCAAGTGTGCTATTCCCATGTGGCTTTATCCTGTCCATGTTTTTGAGAGGATGATGTTGTAAGGGTACCTTAAAACAAGAGACTTGCTTGTATTTTAAGAGAACCAAGTGGCCAAAGAAACTCTTTCTAACTTTGGCAACATCAGAACTTGCCACATGTAGCTACTGCAGCAAGGCTTCTGTGTACTTGCCTGAAAACAAAGGAAGGTGCTGGTCATTCCATTTCTTTTGTTTGAAGCTAAAGAGATGTGTAGCTCCCAGGGGCTACCTTACCAGTATAAAGAGCTGATAACAGTACTCAGAAGAATCTGTGAACAAATACTTGAAAATGGGTTCAATGTTGACTGCCATTATGTGTGGTCTTCCCATTAAATGTGAACATTTTAATATGTATGCATTCACCTTGCCTCTTGCACAAATGTCGAAAAAAGATGGTAATGTCTCAAAGAAATGAACTTGTAGATTACCACGCAGTTTGCTAAAAATTCAATCTTTGACCCAAGCTGTAGCATTTTTTTTTTCATGTGTGGCATTTTTTTCATGCCACCAACAAACTTGTTGCGTGTGTGTGTGTGTGTTTGTGTGTGTGTGTGTGCTGTGCCCACTAGGATTTGTTTAGGTGCCCATTGCATCTTTTTGTGCTATGGAGTTGTTTACATTGAGCATAACTGAACGAGAGACAATACTACTTCCCACAGGAGTCCATTGGGTTCAGCTTTGAAAGAGGAATAGAATCGAGGCTCCTTTGACCATCAAAATGATGAACTTTACTTATGTGGTACCCAATGCCAGAATGTAAGAGTTGCAAGTGATTTTGTGCTGCTATTCATTAAAACTTCTATTCCAGTCTTGCCAGCTTAAGGAGATCAAGATATTAAGAGGTATCCTTGATTTATTTTCCAGTATTCAGTAGTAAAATTTTCCTGTCCACTGTGAATCAAAGCCTGAGTCACTCTATTTAACCTTAGACACATTAATAAGGTTTTATTTTTATTGTGTTTGGTTTTTTCCCGCATAGTAAAATTTCTCCTCCTTTAACTCCTCCTACCCCCCAAGGTAAAAAACAAAAAAAACAAACAAAAAATAGAAGACGAAAGAAAGACATATGAAAGGAATTGTAATTGGCTTAACAGAAACAGTCTGTGAAGACTAACAGTGGTGCAATCATGTTGTCTGTGTTGTGTTATGTGAGAATTTTCTCCTAAGTCATGCAGGTAATGACAATATACTGTAAATACCACATGTGAGTTTACCTGAATCTGTGCATTTTGTGCCTTATTCATGAGAATGATAGAAGTACTAAAATATGTCAAGTGTTTTCAGTATAGCACATTATTTACTGAGTGCCAGTTGTAAATGTTTTTCAACCAGCACCTGAAAAAGACTCTTTTCAAAAAATCACAGAAACAATCTAGAACAATTAATTGTTAACATAATCCAACCTCAGAGCAGCATTACATTCTTTGCCATGATAAACATTCCACTCCTGCTTTCCTAAGGATGAAACAGTGATAATGTGAACTCAAATGAGGTTTCCTGGGTAATGTGACACCTGCAGAAACTATAGAGCGTCATTTATACGTAGTTTGGCAGAAACCACTTACAGTTGATGATGCGCAACCCTGCTGACTGTTTCAGTTAATATGCTGCAGACCACACAGTTGTTTAGTGAACCAAATCTAGAAAGTACCAAGGCAGAGGAATGCTCCTGCTGTAGTCAGGCAAATGAGTTCAACTGGATTTCTTTTGACAATACTGTTGGTACCTATTACTTTGGGGAGGACAGGTTGCAGAAGACCAGATCATTTTTATACAGAATGTGAAATACTGATACAGCTATTCTTTTTTTTTTTTAAAGAACATTGTTTTATAAAGAACATGATTTCCAGTGATCTCTGGAGGCGCTAAAGCTAAAATTTCTGTTCTTGAAACACTTCAGCTTTGCAACTAAAATATTACAGATTAATAATAAATTAAACCAACCAATGATAAACACTACTCAGTCCACCAACAACAAACGTGTTTGAATTCACCTTACCAATATTAATCCCAGCGTGTGTAAAATGGAACAGTAACTCTATGTGACCCCAGATAACATTTTGTAACATTGTACTTCCTTGTAGTTTGTAATGTGAGTTCAATCAGTATTTATGTTGAAATTTCTAACATGAAATCTAGTCTCTATCCTGTTAATTTAATTTTTAAATGCTTTATCCGTTTGTGCAAAGGTAAACGCAGATTGTATCTTTTTTAATGGTACGGCATAAAAAGTAACCCTCAAGTGAAGTGGCTCTATACTGTTTTATAGAGTACTTTAACATGTATAGATATCTTGTAAACTTGTATTGTGGATGTGTAAATAATACGTACTTTGGGTTTTTAACACCGCATGTAAAGTCAAAATAAAATATACAAATCATTATATCTTGCCTCTTGATATTGAAGAGGTTTACAACGTATTATATTTTTTAAATATTTTCAAGTCAATCAACACTGGTAAGAGTTGCTTTTAAAATCTGCCAAAATATTCTTGGAACAGTTGCTCTCCAGTCATGGTTGCACTACCATTCTCTCCTTGGAAGGCTGGTACTGAAGGTCAGAGCCCCTGAGAAAAATGAGAAACTGCTCAGAAAACCAGCTGAACTGTACTGCATCAACAGTCAAGACGCTTTAGGCAAACAGAGGTGGTTCACATTATCCATACATCTATCTAGTTCCACAGACATTTTTAAAATTCATGATTTGTTTTCCTGCATGAAATACTTCACATAATTTCAGTTCAAAATTATAACTGGCAAACAGGGTTCCCGTGAACATTTCTTGCAATTTGGTATAAGGAGTTTCTCAGTTCCCTTGTTTTAAACAAATAGAATAAATTAGGAGCTATCTAAATATTGAAATGGAAGGTAACAACATGATTCTACAGCTCTTTCTTAGCACCTAATGAGTTGGTGGCTGCTGTCATTGCTTCTCATGGATATTGACAGTGGCAAGCCACTTCTGAGAAAGACAACAGGGGTGCTTGTAGGAATCCCTGCCCTTTTGGTTCTAGCTGCTACTCCTGGCCAAAGCCCATCTGCAGCTCCCGTGTGGTCATGTTTTCTCAAGGACCTTCAGCAGCATCTTTGCTGAACAGCAGAATGGCCATATTCCTGTCTCGAGTCTTACTCTCCCTGATAGTGTCATCTAATTAGGGGTGCTGCATTTCAGTGTAATTTAGTGGTATCAGAAGTCCTTGTTTATTCCTATCATGGCATGCAATACTCCAGAGACATGAGGAAAAATTTGCAGGAATCCTTTTGTGAGAGAGAAAGACCAGTGGATGACCTATTTGCCCCATTTCACAGCTCCCAGCACCACAGGTGGTGCCACCAGCCAGAGAGCCTGACCTTGGCCTTCCAAATGACCCCATCATTGGCAGGAAGTCTGTGTAAGTCTGCACACCATTATAGTGCTGGAGAAGAGGGTGGAAGGTGTCTCCTATCTCACTGACTTGCCGAAGTCAATTTGTAACTCAGATTTTGAACAAATGGATGAAAGAAGACACAAGGGAAATGCATCTTCAACCTTGTCTTGCTCTGTCGCCCAGGCTGGAGTGCAGTGGCAGGATCTCGGCTCACTGCAACCTCCGCCTCCCAAGTTTGAGCGATACTCCTGCCTCAGCCTCCCGAATAGCTGCGATTACAGGCACCCGCCACCATGCCCAGTTAATTTTTGTATTTTTAGTAGAGAAGGGGTTTCACCATGTTGGCCAGGTTGGTCTCGAACTCCTGACCTCAGGTGATCTGCCCACCTCAGCCTTCCAAAGTGCTGGGATTACAGGCATGAGCCACCACATGCAGCCTCCTCCTAGGCTTCTTTAGCATTGCATTATCACTCATTTGCATTGCCTGTTTCCATTAACTTGGTGTTTATTATACCTACTGCCTGTTTACTAGTTTTTCTGAGTTCAGCGACTTTTTTCTCTTCTAAAAAATGCACCTTTCTTTTCTCCCTTATAGAAGTTCTTGGCCTTATTCCATCATAGACATTTTTGATAATTTAATGAATGCTATGGACTGAAAGGCGCATTTCCCTTTCCTCTCCAGGACATTTACAGTCCCCTAAAATCACATCTGTGAATCCTCAAGATAAATGCTCAGATCCCATTAGAGACATAGGGTAAGGGAACTTGGGATTTTTTTTTCAAAGGGAGCACATAAAACCAGAGAGTAATGGGACAAATACAATAAACTAACCAGGACAAGGCACTGTGCTCTGGTTCCAGAAATTCCATCGACTAAGCACTTGGTTACCCTGGGAAGGGGCAACTTTGAAGCCAGATGCAACACTTGAAATGCTGATACAGGCTAAGAAGAGAGGGCATCTCATCTTCTGCCAGGTAGTGTCATGATGACCCAGGTGCTGGTCTGGCACCAGGAGGACTCACCCTCCTGCCATCAGAGAGAGATCAACTTTCTCATCTTCTCCCAGCTGGTCTCCTTCATCTGCTTGTCAGAGGAGGGAAAAGAACAAAGTGTCCAAAGCAGCCCTAGGTCCAGGTCCAGGGAGCTGGGTTCTAATCCTCACCCCATCACTCATCTAGGCATTAAGGGCACTCCACCTCTCCTGACTTTGGTAAAGAGATGATTTGACATCCATTTCTCTGACAGTTCTATGGTCTCTGTCAACTCTGCAATTCTATTATTTTATGAATGCTATGCTTAACTATTACAAGTTCAATAGCTTGGTTGGTAGTATGTTTATGGATGCATGAGGCCTGCTTCCTGTTAGATATAAGATATATGTGAGATTAACAATAAGTTATGACAAACAGTGCACTTCAAGCCATTTACCTTGGATCTATTAATATATTTGACGTTTACACTTTTTGCATATATAACATGTGAAACACTTAAATCTCTGCCAGTGTTGCATTTTTTATCAAATAGATGTGATATCATAAACAAAGAAGAATGGAACTATAATAAAATCAATCTTTAATTCTTGAGGGGATGGAGGGTGCAAGGCTAGAGGGGGAGGTAATGTCTTGGTCATTCAAATAGTGAATCAACTAGAATTCATATGTAAAGAAAAATAGCATATTTTTAGCCCCTGTCTTATAATATAATTCTTTTTAAAAATTAGGTATTGATTACTGGTTGATAAATCTCATTTTAACATGCACTTGAGTACACTTAGCCTCATATGCAGGGTTTGGGTAAAGTATGAAAATACAGCGTTATATATGCACTGTTACTTGTGAGCGTTCTTCGTCAGTGTGAGATGGACCTACCCAATGCTACTGTAAAGACTGACTTCCGACCAGTTAGAGCAGTGGTAAGAAGGACAATTTGTCAGTGTCAAGCAGCCCTGTGCAGTGGAATGTTCCATGCTGATGGAGGTTCTAAGTCTGTGCTGTCCAACCTAGTAGCTTAGCGTATGTGGTTACTGAGTATTTGAAATGTGGCCAGTATTTGTGAGGACTTACTACACTGGGCAAAGCCATCTACAAGGCCACCCCTGCTGCTGCACCACTGTAAGAGGTCAGGCTGTGGCTCTGAATACAGCAATTCCATGAGGTATTTAACTCTGATTAAAATATAAGACATGCCTTGTACATTTTGTGTATCTACCCTGGGGCTTCACAGACAGTTGAACTCACAATTGATCACCCAATCAATCACAGATCTAGTTTGAGGTCTGTTTTCTGATTTAGAAACTATAATAAGCACATCCATTGACTGCTAAAAAGCATCAGCGCTTGGCTTATGTGAACAGACTTCTCTTACATTTTCCTGGTGCTTTTGAGCCCTATTCAGTTAATCCCCAACATGCCTTTTTTTTTTCTTTTTGAAAGGGATAAGATTGTCATTCCCATTTTCAAGGTACAGAAATTAAGATGAGTGTGAGTGTGACAACTGTGGACATGTAAATGACAGTCAGTTCAAAAATCAGGGCTAATTCACATTCTCACACTCATGCCCGATGCACAAGCTAACACCCTCTGCGAGAGGGTTGAAAAGGGAGTATCGGTGTTCAATCAGTGAGGATGGCCTCTCTCCAGCACTTCATGTATAATGAGGAGAAACAAAAAAGGTAGAATAATTACAGTATCCAGGAATACGTGCCAAACTTCTAATGAAAAACAGAACATTCAGTGACATCAGTCGCATGCTGAGCCATCATAATGAACATGCCAAATCAATTATTTGAAAAAACAATCCATGGGCTGAATTGACAAGGTGTGGGCTGAAAGCAACCAAAAGGATGCATTCAGAGATGCTACAAGAAACTAACTTGATGTGTCCAAATGGTACCCATCTAGGTTTCTGGGCATCTTGCCAGATCTACACCTGCGGACTGGCAGAGAGTCTCTGGGGAGAATTTGTTTATTTCTTACTTTGCCATTTCTTCATATTGAGCTGTGGTTGTATATTGGGAGTTAAACACAGTTACAGTTTTTCCACTGCTCCCTATGGTTGGGAGATCTTTAGGAGTCGGACTATCTTAAAGAATGTTTTCTGATCATTTGAGCTGCCTAGCCTTTTGTGAGGCATTAGAGTAAGCACACAAAAAAAACATCTGTTGAAGAAACAAATTTGGTGATCGCCCCAGCATCTTACCCTAAGTCAGGTGGCAGGGCCTTGCCAGACATTTGCAGCTGTTAATGCTAATAAACATAGTAAAAGCATATAGACCTTCTTAGCATTTGCAAATCAGGTTTTCAAATAAGAGGATTATAGCATTCTTTAACCATTGTCAAAGGAGCATCCCATGGGTTTGGGAGACAGCTTTGGAAAGTATAATAAAGAAATGGAACCCTTGGAGTACTTTTGCAAATGTGAAAGTTTAGAGAGTTTTAGGGAGCGTTTGGGATATGAATTAGGCTCCAAAGTTCAATGACATCTCAGGTTCACAGATAGAGTCAGGCAATTTGGAGTTTTGTTGGTCTGTATGTTACTGGAGTGACTCATAAAATTGAGATCAATTCTTAAGATTCAATCTGACCTGATGAGAGCCTCTTCTGGCTGCCCAATTAAGGCTTCACCCTGAAAAATTCCATCGGTTTTTCAGGACTTACTAAACTATTATTTCCAACTACCTATGGAACTCACACTTCATAGAAGTAGAAATGATTGACATCATGTGGTCTGCTTAATTTACATGAATATCATAAATGAGAGAAAAGAGCAAAACACTAAAATGGAAGAAAACAATAGAGTTCAAATTATTTTAAATATATGTACATATATAGGAGTCTAGAAGAAAACATACAAAAATATTAAAAACCGCTTAGAATCATTAAAACTGACATATTTTGAAACATGCTTCATTCAAACACATTTTTGAAAATTCTCTGTACATTTTTATTCTAACTTTGTTTTAAAAAGGAAAAAAAAAAAATCCTGGAAACAGCCCCTGACTTTGTTTAGTTATCTA